AAGCTTGTGAATATGGTGTGGCATGAGAAATTATAGTGTGAAAGGTGAGGTAGTGAAATGGTCTATGGACATTCATGTGAACTACTGATAGAAAGGACGACTATTAAGGCTTGAAATTAGGAGCTTATTGAATAACCCTGAATGTTTTTTTTTTGTTTTATTATTTCTTTATGTATTTGTAATGGAGAGACATGGTTGGTTGTCTCAATATGAGGGAGCCAATGACATTCATTCCAGATTCATGCATACTGAGGATGCAGAAGTATCTCAAACTCATGTATATTTTTATTATTATTTATAAAGTGCAACAATGTCTGCAGCAGTGCAGACATTGTTGCCGCTTTATAAATAATAATAATAATAATATATATATATATATATACAGGGAGTGCAGAATTATTAGGCAAGTTGTATTTTTGAGGATTAATTTTATTATTGAACAACAACCATGTTCTCAATGAACCCAAAAAACTCATTAATATCAAAGCTGAATATTTTTGGAAGTAGTTTTTAGTTTGTTTTTAGTTTTAGCTATGTTGGGGGGATATCTGTGTGTGCAGGTGACTATTACTGTGCATAATTATTAGGCAACTTAACAAAAAACAAATATATACCCATTTCAATTATTTATTATTACCAGTGAAACCAATATAACATCTCAACATTCACAAATATACATTTCTGACATTCAAAAACAACAAAAACAAATCAGTGACCAATATAGCCACCTTTCTTTGCAAGGACACTCAAAAGCCTGCCATCCATGGATTCTGTCAGTGTTTTGATCTGTTCACCATCAGCATTGCGTGCAGCAGCAACCACAGCCTCCCAGACACTGTTCAGAGAGGTGTATTGTTTTCCCTCCTTGTAAATCTCACATTTGATGATGGACCACAGGTTCTCAATGGGGTTCAGATCAGGTGAACAAGGAGGCCATGTCATTAGATTTTCTTCTTTTATACACTTTCTTGCCAGCCACGCTGTGGAGTACTTGGACGCATGTGATGGAGCATTGTCTTGCATGAAAATCATGTTTTTCTTGAAGGATGCAGACTTCTTCCTGTACCACTGCTTGAAGAAGGTGTCTTCCAGGAACTGGCAGTGGGACTGGGAGTTGAGCTTGACTCCATCCTCAACCCGAAAAGGCCCCACAAGCTCATCTTTGATGATACCAGCCCAAACCAGTACTCCACCTCAACCTTGCTGGCGTCTGAGTCGGACTGGAGCTCTCTGCCCTTTACCAATCCAGCCACGGGCCCATCCATCTGGCCCATCAAGACTCACTCTCATTTCATCAGTCCATAAAACCTTAGAAAAATCAGTCTTGAGATATTTCTTGGCCCAGTCTTGGCGTTTCAGCTTGTGTGTCTTGTTCAGTGGTGGTCGTCTTTCAGCCTTTCTTACCTTGGCCATGTCTCTGAGTATTGCACACCTTGTGCTTTTGGGCACTCCAGTGATGTTGCAACTCTGAAATATGGCCAAACTGGTGGCAAGTGGCATCGTGGCAGCTGCACACTTGACTTTTCTCAGTTCATGGGCAGTTATTTTGCGCCTTGGTTTTTCCACACGCTTCTTGCGACCCTGTTGACTATTTTGAATGAAACGCTTGATTGTTCGATGATCACGCTTCAGAAGCTTTGCAATTTTAAGAGTGCTGCATCCCTCTGCAAGATATCTCACTATTTTGACTTTTCTGAGCCTGTCAAGTCCTTCTTTTGACCCATTTTGCCAAAGGAAAGGAAGTTGCCTAATAATTATACACACCTGATATAGGGTGTTGATGTCATTAGACCACACCCCTTCTCATTACAGAGATGCACATCACCTAATATGCTTAATTTGTAGTAGGCTTTCGAGCCTATACAGCTTGGAGTAAGACAACATGCATAAAGAGGATGATGTGGTCAAAATACTCATTTGCCTAATAATTCTGCACTCCCTGTATATATATATATTGTGTGTGTGTGTGTACTGTTTTGTTTTTGAAATGCATATGATTAAGAGAAAATAATACCTTGCATAAAATTCCCATGCTGTTCCACTAATCTGTCATGCCATCTGTGTGTTTTCCTATTAAACACAGACTTCACGGTTTGAAAACAACACTGGAAATATTTCTTACTTCAAGACTTTCAAAATATGTTATGTTGTTTTTTTGCTGTCATTTATGCACTTTTTCCTAGAGTGAGCGTGATCAAGATCACACTTTAAATATTGATCTTTGCAGTTACAGAGTGTAATTACTCACCTTTCTGATAAACTAAACGACTTTCAAACTGTGAAATAATATGAATTTTTTTTTTTTAAATTACTGTACTACAAAAAAAACAAAATCAACTCAGTACTCAGCTGTTCTGGTTTATCTAGATATCTAGAGTATTTTTAATGTATCATTTTCTTCAGAAACATAGCACAGATTTGATAAGAAAACAGCTAACCGAATCACTTTACAGGAGCACTCCAAGCCAGGTTGTCATCAGGAGGTACTGCCAGGACCCTGTTAATGGCTTGGCCCTGCTCTCGGCCCATGTGGAAGACTATAACGCTATGCGGGCTGGATGGGAACTGGACAGCATTTTGGATAGGTGACTTTATGGACCCATTACTAGATGGTACATACTGCACTTTTTGATTATGTGTGTTTGTTTGTTTGTTTGTTTGTTTGTTTGTGTATGTGTATGCCTGTAAGTGTAGGTCTGTCCATCTGTGTTTTTGTGTATATGTTTGTGTGTGCCTGGCAATGTATTTTGTATTGGTGTGTGATGAGGAAGTTTTTAATTTTAATAATAATAATAATATAGTATTTTTTATCTTGGTATGGAATCATTGTGTGTGAGTGTGTTTCTGTGTCTGGGAGAGTAAATATGTCTATATGTGAGAGACAGCCACTGGGTGTGTAAGGGGCCTCGTTATAGGTCATTTACTCATATTTGTCCAGCGCCACGCAGGTCTCCTAACATCTGGCTCTGCCTTCTTGATGAGAATTTGTTGATCTCAGACAATCCAATGTTACACCACGCCAATCAGCATCTCCTTATAGATTTTCATTGAATCAATTGCATCTCTATGGGGAAAGTTCAGTGCCTCCATGCGGAGCATGACCCAGGAAGCACCACTAGTAGCCATCTGAGTGACTGCCATTAGAGCTGTCCCTCAGCAGTATGGTAAACACTCTGAAAAGGCAGTGTTTACATTTAAAAACCAGGAGCGACAAGCTATAAATACCAGAACTACATTAAACTGTAGTTGTTCTGTTACTATAGTGTCCTTTTAAGAATGAAAAGAAAAAATTAGTGGGCCATTCACCACCACTCATTCCTTCCATCACGACAAGAGCAAAGCTTTAGCACACACAAAATGTGGAGTATCAGTGACCATTCTTTGATATGTAAAAAACACAATTTCCTAGCAGCAGCAAGAGTCATTTAATTGGGGAAAAAACAACAATTGGTGGGTGGGTCATTAACGAGCATCGCTCAGATCTCGCAAGAGTGAACTCTAGCCCTGCAGGCTAGAGTTCACTCTCCACTGGACCACCAGAGAAGGCAGAAAGGATCCTCCCTACATAAGGTAAGAAGGGAGGGGGGATATTTATTAACTAATCTGGAAAGGGTTATAAAAGTATATCCAAAAGCCTTGCTGTTCATCAGTCCACGGTAAGACAAATTGTCTATAAATGGAGAAAGTTCAGCACTGCTGCTACTCTCCCTAGGAGTGGCCGTCCTGTAAACATAGAAAAACAGAAACCTAGAATGTGACGGCAGATAAGAACCATTCGGCCCATCTAGTCTGCCCAATTTTCTATATACTTTCATTAGTCCCTGGCCTTATCTCATAGTTAGGATAGCCTTATGCCTATCCCACGCATGCTTAAACTCCTTTACTGTGTTAACCTCTACCACTTCAGCTGGAAGGCTATTCCATGCATCCACTACCCTCTCAGTAAAGTAATACTTCCTGATATTATTTTTAAACCTTTGTTCCTCTAATTTAAGACTATGTCCACTTGTTGTGGTAGTTTTTCTTCTTTTAAATTTAGTCCTCCAAGCTATACATGTTAAGATCCTTTAACCTTTCCTGGTAAGTTTTATCCCGCAATCCATGAACCAGTTTAGTAGCCCTTCTCTGAACCCTCTCTAAGGTATCAATATCCTTCTGAAGATACGGTCTCCAGTACTGCATACAATACTCCAAGTGAGGTCTCACCAGTGTTCTGTACAATGGCATGAGCACTTCCCTCTTTCTACTACTAATACCTCTCCCTATAAACCAAGCATTCTGCTAGCATTTCCTGCTGCTCTATTACATTGCCTGCCTACCTTTAAGTCATCAGAAATAATCACCACTAAATCCCTTTCCTCATATGTTGAGGTTAGGACTCTATCAAATATTCTATATTCTGCCCTTGGGTTTTTACGTCCAAGATGCATTATCTTGCACTTATCCACATTAAATGTCAGTTGCCACAATTCTGACCATTTTTCTTGTTTACCTAAATCATTTGCCATTTGGCTTATCCCTCCTGGAACATCAACCCTGTTACATATCTTAGTATCATCAGCAAAAAGACATCCCTTACCATCAAGATCTTCTGCAATATCACTAATAAAAATTTGAAAGAGAATGGGTCCAAGTACAGATCCCTGAGGTACCCCAATGGTGACAAATCCAAGCTTCAAATATATTCCATTAACTACAACCCTATGTTGCCTGTCACTCAGCCACTGCCTTACCTATTCAACAATATTGGAATCCAAACTTAAAGATTGCAGTTTATTGATAAGCCTTCTATGTGCAACAGTGTCAGA